ACACACACACACACACACACACACACACACACACACACACACACACAATAGCTAAGATAGTTATAAGACTAATTTCTTGGGCTGGGGATATAGCTCAGTGGCACAGTGCCTGACTGGGCAAGTGCAAGGTCCTGAGTTCAATTCCCAGAACCAAAAAAAAAAAAAACCTACTAATTTCTTTTGGCTCATTGAAGGGAACAGGTTGTGCTTATATTGTTTGATCAATCTTGAATGCCTATATCTTATAATCTGAGCAACTACTTTGAAGATAACAATATGCAATATATTAACCATTGTTAATTACCTATTATTTTGTTTTGAAATTCTGTATCATTGTTTTTACTGTTTTTATCTCTTTAAAAGGAAAACAAGCTAGAATTCTGATCATAACCCAAGTTATTCATATGTCAGGCCAGTTGTAATTCAAGGGTCCCCTGCAAAGTGTTTTTGGAATAGAGCCATTTGTTTGTGTATCATTTGTGGGTGTGTTTATGCTGTAACAAGAGTTAAGGACTCAGACTGCGTGGCCCTCTGTGCAAACATCTACACAGCTGGCCTGACTGCTGTCCTTTCAGAGGCCTCCCTACAGGCTGGCCTTGGCTGGTGCATTAGATTTCACAGTGCTGGGACACAATACCTGACACTCACACCATAAAGAAGGAGAAGTTAATTTGGCTTATGGTTTCAGGGGATTCAGTTCATACTCAGCTGACTCCAGGGCAAAAATATCGTGGCAGGAGGGTATGGTGGAGCAAAGATGCTTAGTTCATGGTGGTCAGGAAGCAGCACAGGGGAACAATGTCAGAGAGGAAATGGGCCAGGAACCATATATAGGACCTATGGTCATGCCTCCATGACCCATCCAGACACACTCAAAGTGTGCTTTACTAATCTCCTAGAGCAAGTGATAGCAAACCTTTTAGAGCTTCCAATGATAACAAACAGTTGGTGCAGCAGGTTTGCCACCATGGTCCTAGGGCTTTCTTAATCCAATCAAATTGATCTATGACAATTAACAGCCACAACTGGTATCTGTGAGCTTGGATTTCAGGAGGGCCTCACCATACCTAAATGGACCAAAGAAACTCTTCTGTTCACAGTGAGCACCTGCTTTCCTTCTGGCAATCAGGAAGTTTGGTACACACCAGGCAGAGGCCACTTATGCAACCGGGCCCAATAGAAGCCCCGAGAGCTGAGGCTGTGACTGGCTTCCCTGGAAAACAGCACTTCACAAACTTTATCACAAGTCATTGTTGGGGAATGGAGTATATCCTGAGTGACTTCTCTAGGAAAGGACTTTGGAAGCTCGTGTCTAGCTCCCCACACTTTTCTCCATGTACCTTTTCCCTTTGCTGCTTTGCTATGTGTCTGTTCACTGCAATAAACATTGCTGTGCAGATAGCGATGTGCTGGGTCCTGGGTCCTCTCTGAGAAGCACTGAGTTTGCAAGTGCCTAGGGTGACAGCACCCTCCCCGCAGCACACCCTCAATGCCAAAACTACTTGCTGTCTGTCCCTTTAAGGAAAAGCTGGCCCACACAGGCTACAAACAGCTTTAGCTGGGATAGAAATCCTGTGCTCCTTATCTCCCCACCCCACGAGACCCTGAGCTCCCGGGAGGTGTGGCCCGGGCCTGTTGTCTCAGTGTCTGTTGGCTGAGTGCAGTATCTGGCACAAAATACCTATGGGGGAAGTTAGCAAGTCTGTACATAATGGATTCAAGAGGAACTTTTTAAACCGCGGGTGGTGAAATCAATTTAAAAAGGTTACGGCCAATGTTTTCCAATGAAAGAATAGAATAGAAAATATCAGAGGATATTACACATAGTAAGCCTAAATTTTATTTCTCAAAAACATTGTTTTAGTCATACACATGGACAAAATGAAGGCCACTCACCGGATGTAAAAAATCTAGGGTCTTCTCTAACTGGGACCTCTTTGCCAGCTGCCTGATGACTGTCACTGTGTACCGGCCCATCTCTGGGCATTGGCATTTAACCTCTTACTTTCTTCTTCCCTCCACCCCCAGAACGTGTACTACACAAGCAGTCAGCAGATCCACGTGGGCGTGCTGAGCCCCACAGTGGATGACGACGACAATCGGTGCCTGGTGGACGTCAACAGCCGGCCTCGGCTCATCGAGTGCAGTTACGCCAAAACCAAGAGGATGAAGCTCCACTGGCAGTTCTCTCAGGTAAGGGCCCAGAGCCTGGAAACTGAGGCTCTAGGAAGGCAGGGAGACGTCTGCCCAAGGGCACACATTCGAAGGCATGCTGGGATTTGAATTCAAAGTCTCTCCAACTTTAAACCTTAGGATGTTTTCTACACAAGTACCTTCTCACAGAGAGAGTCCAGTGCCCCAGACAGCACTGGGTCTTTGGTCTGTGGCTTCCCACCTGGCTCCCATATGGGGTGACTGTAGGGATGAGGAGAGTTCCTAGCAGGGCAGTGTACTGGGGGTACTTAGAAAGAGCAATCCCTGTATTAGTGACTGTAGAACATTGTCTCCATCAACCCAGGACACATATTTGACTTCTTGCTGATGTGTCTTCCCATTATAAAGTCATTCCCAAAGTTCTAGATGCCCAGTCTAAAGGGAAACTTTTGCCTGGGCTCAGCAGCCTCCCAAAGAATCTCCTCCATTAGGGTCCATGTCCAAGGATTCTGGCCTTTCAGGTGGTGCAGGTGAAGTGCTTATAACAAGAGGCAAAGGAGCCCATAGCTGCCAGAAGGGCTGTGCACTGTGGGTGCTCTCAGGGGTGTCAGGGAGGGAGTGGGGACTCATGAGACTGCTTAGCAGAGGTCCTGGCCCAAGCCTCCCAGCAAGCTGCCTCCACGCTGATAAGGAAGGAGGTTGTGACAAGCAGTTTTGCAAGCTCCTCCGCTGCAGTCCTGGTGTCATTACTCTCCCCTCTACTCGGGGGAGGTAAGGGGAGCCCCAGCTACATCATACCCCACGAGCACAGGTTGCCTTTGAGCTGTGGCCTGGGTAGGGGAACCACAGGTCTTAGAGAGATCCTTGCTGAGATCCCAGATTGGTAGGGAAGGTCAATACTAAGCAACTAGCTTAAGTCACAGATTTAGAAGCTAGCTAGAGAGCAGGAGCAAAAGCCAGGGCAGCACTTTGTGAAACCAGGAAAGCAGATGCAGGAAGGAGCACAGAGAGCCAACGGAACACTTCCCAGGCGGGGGGAAGGGACAAACTGGCAGCAATGTGAATCCTGCCTAGGCCTGCAAAGTAGGAGGCCAGGAGTGGCAGTGACAGGAGATGTGCACAGGGGACTTGTGACTCCTGCTGCTGCAGGCGGGGCCTCTGACATGGGTTATAACTTTAAGCCCTATCCCAATAGACAGCAGCTAACGCTCCTATAGAACTTACTGGGTGTCAGAGCCTAGGACTTTGGCGTAGATTAGCTCATTTAATCCTCACAACTATGTGATGGCTACAATTAATCTAAATTTATAGAAAAGAAAATTGAGGCCCAGAGAAGATAAGCAACCTCCCCAAGCCACGTCTGTTGGTTACTATTCATTAGAAATCTCCAATTCCATGTGTTTAACCATTGGAGGATGTTGGAGTGGGCCCTGGAGGAAGGGTCAGGCTGAGCAGTGAGAGTCCAGTATGCGGCTTCCTCCCTTCCCCTCTCAGGTTGAAACCCCAGGTTCCCCATCCACAGCCTGTTGCTGACCCAGTCTGTCCTGGAAGTGGTCTTGTGACTTTTTCCTATCACATTTCTGGCCCGGAGTTTTTCACCTTCCCACTGAGAAGCAGGATGCCTGGGGCCAGGGAGTTCAGGAACAGATGGGTGTGTGTGTGGAGGTACAAGGCAGCCCTGCAGAAAGTGGGCACAGGCAGATGAAGGAACCCGAGACCCAGGGAGATGAGTGTGGCTGACTTTGACGGGTGACATGGGGTTCATGCCTGAGACTGTGTGGTCTGCATGGAGTCCCATCAGGATCTGCTATGGGCAATGTTCCTTGCTGCCTTCAGCCAGGCCTTCTGGGTCCCTGGAGTCAGCTTCCTCCTGGGGACAGTGAATGGAACAGAAAAGGGAGCTGGTAGTGGTGGGAAAGGGGTGGGGCAAGGCTGGGGGCTTCTCAGGGTATTCAGTGTGCAGTGCTCAGAGTATGTAGGATCTTGCCCCATCAGAGGAGTAACAGTGTCCCAGGGAAAGGGAACAGATTATGCCTAAGGAATGGGTCATCAAACCTCAGGCCTGGTTGGGGCACTCAGTTAGGTGTGGCCGAATCCTGGAAGGCATGGTAGGAAGCAGCCAGAAAAGAACATGGCAGGACTCAGGTGGACGGGTGGACTCAGTTCCTCAGGAGATGAGGATGTGCAATTCCAGGGCACGTTCTGGTCTGAGCTTCTGAAAGCCCCCTCTGGTGAGGATGGTGGAGCTGAGTTAGAAAAAGAGATTCTAAAAAGTGACAGAGAGAGGGCTGGGGATTTAGCTCAGCGGCACAGCGCCTGCCTGGCAAGTACAAGGTCGTGAGTTCGATTCCCTGTACCAGAAAAAAAAAAAAAAAAAAAAAAAAAAAAAAAAACAAGAAAGTGAGGGAGAAAAGATGAAGTCTTAAAGGAAGCAGAAATGTAGTTCAAAAGTTTAGCTGTTCTTGCCTCCGTTTCTACCATGACCCTTTGGGCCCTGGGCCACAAAGCCACCCTTCAGGTCAGGGTCGGAGGTGACCTAAGGAGCTCACATGTGGGCTGGACCTGCAGACAGGTATGTCTAGGGGTGCTGAGATGGGTGAGCATGAGGTGTCACCTCCCCTAAGCAGGAGGGAGTCAGTGGCCACCTGGCTGTCTTGGAATAGCCACAGGAAGTCATAGCCCAAGCAAGTGCCCGAGCCTGTGGGGAACTGGTCTCCCAGATGCAAGTGTTCTTCACTGAGGTTAGTGTCAGCCCCCTTCAGAGGACGGACCCCCTCCAGACGCTCTGCAGTCAGCAGGGAAACAGAGCTGTGCATGAACCTGGGTCTGGAGGCAAAGACACCCCCAAACACAACTGCCTCCTTCCCTCATCTCAGGGCCTGGCCTTGAACAGGCAACCCCACAGGATTCTGGTTCAGATGGACTGAGCAACCAGCAAAATGAGTGGTGCTCTGGGGCCTGGGCAGTGTTTGGCCACTTTAGCATATGTCTCATTAAAACTCCCAGAGTGCTTTGGCAACCACAGCTTTGATCCTTCTGCCAAAGGGAATTATTTGGAAGGAGCATTTTAAAATTCCTAATTTGCAAACCCTGGGCACCTCCTCTCATTCGCTATTGAATAATTAACATATGTGCAATTGTTGCCTAATGCAAAATGATCAATATTGATTAAGGAACCTGGAATCTATCCTCAAACTCTCATTGACAAGGAGTTACTGCTGACAGGGCTACAGGAAGCTTGGGACCTCTTCAATGATTAAAGTCTTGTGCTCAGGGGGAATTTCCTTGCAATAGGTTTTAGTGTTTCCAAAACCACAGGGGTCCTACCAGCTGGAATGTCCCCCTGCAGAAGCTGGGCTGGAAGAGGCTTTCACCAGGTACATTTCAAACTTCCTTTCACATTATGCGTTATTTGCTCTCCTGAGCAAATTTAAGCTCCACAGCACTCCGCCTGCATTAATTTCAAAATAATCTAGTGTGATTCTGCTAGGTTCTTCTAGAAAAAAAAAAAAAAAGATAGTCATTTGCATATCTTAGTGTTCCATCTCCTCTGATTTTCTGTTTAACAAATAAAACGCCTTTCCTCTAACCCCTGCAAGCTCTTCTGAATTGCCAGTGCTTCAGGCTGAACTAGGGCAGGGCTACACACTGACAACGAGGAGCCACATTTGATGAAAACATCTCTTGGCAATGCTGATGTGCAGGGCTCTGATGAGCAATTTTCTGATGATGAACATTCTTTCCTTCCGTCGTTCATCAAACATTTATTGAGCACAGGGTTTTGGCAGGAGGGATGCAGATATGAATCAGACACAGCCTCTGCCCTCAAGGAACACATGGACATGTAAACACACAATTAAACTGCTTAATGAGAGCAGAAACAGGGTGTGGTGTACAGTGTTCTGGGAGCCCAGGGTGACGGGCTCTGCCTGCAGATTTCAGGCCTGGCTTCACATGCTTGGTGTGTTTGACCTACATCTTGAAAGTTGTAGAGATTGTTGCCTGACAGAAGAAGAGGGGAAATGTCCCAAGCAGACACTCTGCCTGGGCGAAGGCGTGAAAGAGCAGAGTGTATTTGAGGAGTGACTCCAGTGAGGATAGAATTCAGAGTTTGTGATGGGGCAGGTGGGAGAGAGAACCAAAGAGCCACATGGGGGCCCATGATGGGGGTCCTTAATGCTAAGAAATTTGAACTGTGCCTTAGAGCAAAGGGAGTGACATGACAAGCAAGGTTCTTAAACAGTAGACTCTGGATTGGTCTGTTTTTGTTATTATAATGAAATACCTGGGGCTGGGTAGTTATAAAGAATAAATAGGTTATTTAAATCACAGTTCTGGAAGGTCAAAGTGATGGTGCTGGTATTGGCTCAGGTCTGGCCAAGGCCTCATGGAGAATAGTGTGACTGTGGAAAGAGACATTGAGGTCATATGTGTGAGTGAAGGAGATCACATCTCAAGACAGGAAGCCAGAGCATGGCCCAGAGCTGAGCTCTCTCTTTTGTAACAACTTGCTCTCAAGAGAACTAACTCGGGGTCCCATGAGAGCCACCTTAATCTCCTCAGAGGGCAGTGCCCTCCATGACCTAAGGACCTACCACTGGGCTCGGCCTCTCAAAGGTCCCACCACCCCAGCGTTACCACCCTGAGAATCCAGCGTCAAATTCTTGCCCACTTGAGGGAAAAATCACATTCAAACCATAGCCATTTTCAAATCATAGCATGTGGAGTAGAAGCAGCTTGAGAGGGGAAGCAAGCTAGGGAGGAGGCCGTTCCATCATCTTGGGGAAAGATGCGAATCACAGGACAGGAGGCCAGGCAGTGGTTGGGAAGAACTTTGAGAGACATCTCGTTGTTCTATTGGACAGAGTAATGGATTATAGGATGGTAACCAGGAGTTTTCAGCCAGGACCAACCCCAAGTCTGGGCTTGAAGAACAGTTGGTGGGCCCTCGGCATTGCTTCCCTGAACCAACACACCTTCCTCTAAATAGCCAGTATTTCCCACATCAGCACACAGTGAAACCTCATCAGTATGAGAGG